TTTACGAAAGGACGGTTTTGAGGATGCTGTTGTACCGGCATTGGGTTTGTACCTCTTTTAGTACTTATTTTTTTTTTGATTTTTTTTTTAAACAAATTTAATCAGATGCTTTTTTGTCTTGTAAAAGTTCCTGGTATCACTCAATGTATTATCACTCTTTTACATATTCAGAGTAAAGAAATAATATTTAAACGAAAAAAGTATTTTTACTTTTAATCTTGTTTTATACAAATATGTTTGGGTTTTTACTTTGCTCTGAAATATTTGTATCAGCTGTAGTTCACAATCCGGTTTTTCAGCTATGCAGCTTACAACTTTTCCGATTGCTTTGCCCAATACTGCACCATCTGGTGGTCATTCCACAAGATATCTTAATACCTCGTATTCTAAAAGAAATATTTTAATATCTTGCTAACTAAGGAAGGGGAGAGGGGAGGATTTTTTTCTAACTTATTTAGCTCTGTTCATTTCTTTCTTGAACAGGTTTTGAATATGTGTATTTCAGAAGCATTACTTTCGGATCTCCAGCATACAACGGAGGTGCTGAAACGGGCCAAGTTGAGCGATCGTAATCCACCATCTGATGCACATGATCTGGAGCCCGTTTACCAAGAGCAGACAAGGAGGTATTTTATTTTGCTTACTATTTCATTTTCTCAACTATACTCGACGAAATATTACCTCTTGATTAAGACAGATTTTGAAAGAATGAAAGCTGATCTGCGAGAACCACTGAAATTACAAAGTGAACTAAAATTTTGATCGAAAAATTCATCAAGAAACAAAACTCGAGCAATAAGATTCAGGCAGAAATTCATCAAAAAACAAAAATTCACCAAAAACGAGAAACAAATTTTTAAATTTTCAGATATTTAAATATCTTGTATTTTAACATATTATATGATTGACAGAAATAACGAGGTATTCCATGTTAGTGATGTTACTGTGATATCCCCGCGCGCCAAGCTTAGCTGTGCCAGATTTTTCAGTCCTGAACTCCATTCCTTCGCTTAGTAACCATCGTCTGTTAGTGTATATGCGCCACTTCATTGAAGCTGTTGTAACATTTGAACTGAAGCTGTTTCGCAAAAGCAGCGAGGGTATCTCCATTAACGGTCCGAGCAATCCTGGCAATTTAACTGGCCGTTTTTTATGTCGACAAATGGCCCTTGAAGAGCTGAGGGCAGAAAAGAGGAAGTGAGAAATCTGGAAATAACTCCCTGTCCGCAGTGAGTTATACCACCCCTACTGCGGCTAATAAAAGTACGATTTTAGTTATAGCAGTTCGAGACATGGCCTGGAAAGTATTGAATTGATGCTGGACGATTATTCTCAGAAGAGAATGAGTCCTCGAGGTATTTTTTGTTTTTATATTACTTTCAACGAGCAATGGAAAATTTCACCTTAAATACCTTAATTTCACCTTTTTTTTTGAATAAATACCGTACAGATGAGCGTTTCCATAGCTTGCTTGTAGGTAATTCTCGAAAAGAAAGCTATCGGCAATTGGTTGCTATAGACATTTGCTACCAGTTAGGCTGTTTTCGAATGCCTCCACCATTTATAGTGATCGAATACAGAAAGGCTTTTAACTTTGCTTTTTAACATGTTACAGACGAGCGTTCCACAAATTCAATATCAAGCCAAGCCGAGAGGCCGACCGTGCATAGCCTGATCAACGAGCTTGAACATGACAGGTGAGCAAGCTTGTAGTTTTTGCAACAGTGGCCTGCGGGTGGTTTGAATTTAAACCAAAGGATTATGAACTTTAATTTTTGCTATTTTCTGCAAAAATGCTCAATTTTTTAAGGTTTTTTTTGACGCCCTATTGAATCACTTATTTTTTTATGCATACGGTGGACTTTCGCCCCAGTTGTGCATTCCTGCAGCTCTCTTTATGCATAGGATGGCATAAAACAGCCATTTTTGTAAAGTTGGTGTAAGTACGTAGTGAAAGCGATAGTTTTGATTGCTGTAATCGCCATAATATCTTACCGAACAAATGAAGAAAATCGTTGTTCACCTATGGGTATAGTTGGTTTGCTTATTTTGGCTTTTACATTGAATCTTCCGAAAGTTTGGATGTCTTCTTCTGCCGCTCACTCCGCAAAGCTTTCGGGAAGTTTGGGTTCCTTTATTTTAGAGAGAAAAGTGAACTGTTATAAACTACAAAGAACCACATTCCTAAAGTAGCTACGAATGATACCGAAAATTCAGCACTGATAGTTTCCTCTTAATTTTTATCGCCATTTTTGCCTAATTTTTGGAAATGAATTGCCCGTTTTTTAACAGTTTTACGGCGTTTTGCTCCTTATTTCAGCTCTCGTAAAAGTATTCAGTCATCGCAATCAAATGGAACACACAGCGACTTGGTATTCATTTCTTAATTTCAGTTTCATTTTTAAATTATTTGGTCAATTATTTATCTAAACATTATACCTGGAACACCTAAAACCTAATCGTATTATGGTTTTTCCAACTATGCAGCTGACAACTTTTCCATCTTTTTTTGCACATTCCTCATCCACACCTCTCCGAACATTCTATTTCGATCTGCCATGCGCTGAACTTCCTACTCCTCTCTTAGTACATCGCGGATACCATTCGGCTATTCACTTCGTCCATCTGTTATCTCTCATTCTTGCCGCTTGACCAGTCCAGCTTATCTTTCCAGCACATATTCCGTTATTCCCTTTGCTGTCCTTTTACACCAGAATATTTTAGCAACATATAATAACCGGTGAGGTTAAATTATTGTTTTTTTTTTCCCTGTCAAGCCATGAAGCTTTGCTGATGACAACTCATCCTTGATCCATGCGGATCAATAAAGCTAGTAGCTGAAACTCGGC